AATAATTAGGAAGGGAATGTTAAAAAATTTCTTTTTCAGAGCGTCGACAAATAGAAATCAAATTCTGCGGATGTACGATGGATCAGGAGATTCACACTGTGTGAAAGACATTCACACACGTGTGAATGTCTTTCACATGAGGTGAATGAGATTCACACGGTGTGAATTGCATTCACATGTGGTGAAGGCCAACTTTTTTGCTGAGTTCAGTTAATAAGATGTCTGATAATATTTTCTTCCCTTAACTTAGGACTCTTGTGCAGCATCACACACCGCTGCTTCAGACATCCGGGGAAAATCTACTTGGAAGGGGTGTGATGAAACTGGCCTGATTGGATTGGCTTGTCGTCATGATCACGTCTTGAATTTCGTCAATGTGGTCCAGAGTGGAGAGCGGTGAGTTGTCCTCTTAATCTAACAAGATGTGAAGCGTGTGTGAATGATTCAGTTTGATTAATGGTGGTGATATTTGATGGAATTAGTCAGTATTTTGTACTGGCATTGCTTGATCAGTTATTTCAGGATACAGCGGAGGCAGGGAAGCCGAAAAAAAGCCATACAGTTTTTTACGACATTGGTTGTACACTAGAAAAAAGTGTTCAGAAGGTGGAGTTCTGCTGCTATTTGTATATTTGTATTGAACTGTGCAATAACTGAGGAAGTCCTTGATTTTACAGAACGGGTATTTCGAGGAGCAACACCAGCGTGGTGATCTCAAATTTGCAACTAGTGCTTTCCATGCTTATGCACATAGATGGACTTGTCAGTTGAAATATAATCCCCGGCTGAATAAGGGCCATGGATTGACCGACGGGGAAGGAAATGAGAGGATCTGGTCTGATAATGATCCACTGATAGCACCAAATCGATGTGCTACCAAACAACACAGGGTGGATGCGATAGACTTGAAGTCTAGTCATGGAAATGAAACCAGATGCAACAACGCAGGTATCTAGAATTTTTCTGAACACAAAGATGTTTGTGGGAACTGAAAGATGATTTGTTAACAGCACGTTCAACGGAGGTGAAATTAAATACGGCAGAAGGAAAAATCAAGGCGGCTTCGGATACGCTCCAAAGGCTTCAGTCTCAAGATCCTAATTTCACGTATGGTTATTTTTCCAGGCAGTGGGAACGGCAGAAGGCCACTCAGCTGGCTGCAATGGATGAAAGTGGTGCACAAGAGAAGCTGGAGCAACGTTTGATTGAGCTTCTCGACTTGGAAGAGCAGGTGAAGGATGCGCAGTGAGTGGAGTTGTTTTGACAATATCGTGAATGGCTTGGGCTGACTTCCGGTGGATGTGACATGGATGAATTTATCAGGAATGAGCTCTCTCGTCTGCGAAGAAAGCGGAGGGGAACTCGAAGTGAGGAAGAGATGGCACTCTTCCTCACATTGCCGGCATCAATTGTGGAACTTGAGATGGTGGTGGAGGAAGTGAGAGAAGAGTTGGGAAGCCCTGAATTCACTCGACTGCGAGAGGCCACAGGTGGGTGATCTGAAGCTCAGAAAAAGTAATGTATCTTCACTAACATCTTGAAAATTAAAAGGTCCCAAAGCCGAAGCACTCATACGGGTACGTCTGGCTAAGATGAGGCTATATGAAGCCAAGGTGGGTATATCTGAAGCGCAGAAAAAGTGGGACAAGGAGGGTCAAGGCAAGTTTTTTTTTTGTAATACTCTGAAGCGTAAAATGATGTTAGTTATTCTTTACCTTAGGTACGAAGGCACAAAAGGGCCTCAAGATTCTAATGAACAAGAAACAGTTAATCTTTAAGAAAAAGTGGACTTCGTATGAAGATCAAGTGTCCCAATTCAACAGCATTCGGCCGGTCAGCCGTATGGTATGTCCATCACTGGATGAAGCAAAAAGGCTACCTTTTGAGGATATTTTCTGGAATGTTGGCGCGCTGGCTCATCCTACAGAGAAGTGGGCTGTAGATCCAGGCACAATTGAAGGTATCCAGGCATTTTTACAACACAGGTCTTGTAGTGAAGAACTCCGAAGAATTGGCCGAGAGACTCAGCAGATGGTACTTGAGGCTTTGAAGACCGAAAGCAAGCTAGATGGCTTACTGGCATTGTGTAGCAGTGGCGAGTTTTTCTATTTTGATGGTTTTTGTCTTATGTTTTCTAACATTATTATGGACTTAACAATATTCTAGATTACGATGCTGAGAATGGTGGAAGAGATCTAATTGATTTAGTGCAGCCCGGTCAGCGTATTGCAAAGGATGTTTGGGATGTAAATGTGGAAGTATTGGGATCCCTGCACGACAATCTTCGTCAAAAACACTGCAGAACATGGATGAATTGGAATTCAAATATTGTGGAATTACTACAGAGGTCCTATGGTTATACGAGGATGTCAGCTGAGGAAGTTGAATCTTTGATCCAGCGCTGGGAAGGGTTGGTTGCTAGGGGTAAGTCAACCTGGGAGCGTATTGTAAATGCTGAAAGTCTAGAATCAACTGCTGTGGATGAACTGGAAATTTTGGAGCAGAATATTCTGAATGGGGAGGATGACGTGGAAGAGCTTCATCAGCAGGTGGATCAGCTGTACATCATGGATGAAACAACTGAGGAGGATGATGTTTGGGGTGAAAGTGGGATGGATGGTATATATGATTAATATTGGGTATTAGTGGTTTTGTTTGTGTTATTTGTTTTGATATCATCAATCTCTTGGTATTGTGTCATCAATCATGTTCTATGCCAGTGGATCTTACACTTCACATTATTTTCATCTGTATTCACCTAAATGTGTATTCACATATAGGTGATTGGCATTCACCTATAGGTGACCGGGTGATATGTAGTATGTGATGTGATTCACGTACAGGTGATTTTCATTCACCTTCAGGTGATTTTCATTCACCTATAGGTGATTTTCATTCACATAAAGGTGATTTTCATTCACCTATAGGTGATTTTCATTCACTTATAGGTGATTTTCATTCACATATAGGTGATTTCATAAGTGTTGGTTGTCACATATGGGAATAGCGTGTATCTACCTATATTCACAGATGGTGTTCAGTCTTTACGGGTCAGATTCACATATGTGTGATGGGGAATCACCTCCATGTGAATGACATTGGGTGGGATTCACGTGGATGTGAATCCCAATCACACTACTGTGATTCTGTTTGGTATTCTCATCCGGCAGTTATATCTGGGATTGTGTGATTTTGAATTACCCTCCATCACATATGTGTGATGGAGATCTTTGATGCGTCTTGAGGTGTCGGAGTCAATTCACATCTATGTGAATAACATTGGATGGGATTCACATAGATGTGAATCTCAACCACACGTATGTGATTCTGTTACTAATACTGGCAAACAGGGTGTGTGAATGTTACCGTCAATCACATATGTGTGATTTGGATGTGTGACACGATCTTTGTGTCTGAATCACACTTATGTGAATGGGGTTTCACACTTATGTGAATGGGTTTCACACTCATGTGAATCAGATTCACGTCAGTGTGATTCTGATTTCCAGCGTCACCCACGGGTACACGTGGACCTTGACCATATGCCAGTACATGGGCGTAGATGATGTTTTAGGTGTTCCTAGCTCATCTAGTGATGGAAGGAGAACTCAAAAATGGCTTTGCGTCCGACGCGTCGGGGAGTCGGCGCGTCGGAAAGGGGCGTTTCGGCTAATAGTCGATAGGAAAGACACGTTTCCTATCGACTTAGACCCGACCCGTCGGGTAGGCACAGGTGCTATCAGGCCACTCTTTTCGAGTTGGAGGGGCGACCTTCAGATGGAACGAAAAGAGGCCTTTAGAAGAAATTGTAACGATAGGAAGGTGGCAGTCAAAAGCGTATCAGCTTTATCTGAGGAAGTACAGCAAGGAGGAGAAGAAAGAAGCAAAAGAACTGTGGGATGTGTTGGCATTTGATGAAGAACAGAAGAAGTGAAACGAAAGTGAGTAGTTGGACCAAGAGAAGAGAATGAGACGGAGCTAACGGATCCCTCTCCAGGTCAAGTTTAAAAGAGCGAATGGGAGAAAGCGATGGGAGAGAGGGCAAAAGGGTAAAACGAGAGAGTCTTGGAAAGGGTGTTGGGGGTTTATACAAGTGTTTGGGGCGTACAGTAAATATTAAGTTTAGTGGAGATTTCAATTGCAGATCCATGTGATAACATACAGTACGATCGCCAAGCAAGCGGAAACTTTATCTGGACTGTTGTCGTAGATGGGTTTTTGACGGGCTCAGGACGCCAATTGTCCAGAGATCGGGAGGTAGAAAACCCCTTCTCGGACAGGCAGTCCCCGGGCTCACGCCCCCCCCCACACCAGGTCAGAGCCTGATCAAGGCAAAGACCTAAATAAAGACTGTTCGTCTTAGGAAGGTAGGTTGACAAAAAAGATTACCCAACAAAATACAAAAAGAGAGATACATAAAAATGAGAACCATGAGTGTTAATAAAGTAAACAAACAAACAAATTGATGAGAACAACACTTAAGCGAGAGTGAGAGCATCAATTAAAGATGAGTAAACTAAAAGCTGAACAAGGAGAAGTCAGAAGATGGATAGCTCTGCAAACCAATTCATGACGTTAAAAACTGGAGAGCTCTGAGCGTCTTCTGTTGATTCTAATGCTCTGTTTTGAGGAGGAACGAGGAATAACATCCGTCCACGAGCCAGGAGCTTGAGAGAGAAACCTAGCTAGGTTTAGAAGAGCCTCTAGCAGCCCTGATGATGGACACAGGACGACTTCCTGTGCTCTGACCTGCTAAGACCAGCTTCAGGCACAGACGTCATTCCAGGCACCACCTAAGGATGAGATAATCTCACTAGAGACCACGCTTTGGAAGAGATATCTAGGTAAGATCTCTTGTCTTCCGTTCCTCTTCCCATCTTGGAAAGAAGACCGTAAGCGCTTCTTGTCTCTTCTAGTGGAGATTCTCATCCTTTGCTTTCTCACCTCTTTTTCTCTCTCTCAGCGCTCCGTTTGCTTTTTCAGACCCCTTTTTTACTAGAATGTCAAACACGGAGGATATCGCTGTCAATAACCTAATCAATCCGACTTCCCAAAACTTAGAAGAAGATGTATCAGCTCCAAAAACTAGATTGAGAACGAATAAATCCAAATTACCTACTTTTAAGAAAAACGACAAGAAATCTGAACAATCATCGACCAAACAAATAGAAATTGTTGAAGAAGACAAAATTATTGAGGAAGAAACTGAAACTGGAGACCCAAAGGGAAAAGAAAAAGATGTAAATTTAGGATCAGACGACCAACTTTCAGTCGACAAAGCAGACTCATCTGCATCTTCGGACTTCACGAACGATGTTTTGTTATTAAAGAATGAAGGTTTGTTTTGCTTAAAGTCTATACCTTAGTACTTCTACCTGTTTCATTCGATCATCCGAATATCAAGCTCATTGATAGTTAATATATCAACTATTTGGTGGTGTTTTGTTTTATCTACTTTCCATGAAACACTCCATCATATATGATGAGGTTCCGTCACTATAAGACGAGGTATCAATCAATACTCGATCTCATATTAGATCAAACAGTTTCCGTACTTTAAAACGAGGCACCTACATGCTAAAATTAATATCTATATAACTCATTTTCGGATTAGGCTACGCATCCTACATAACAATATGAGTAATATATTTCCGCTAAATATAGCGAGACATTCAGTGCTATATTTAATCAATTTCATAATAAATAGCGAGAAACTAGAATGCTGTATTCTTTTATAAAATGTCCACTCCTCCTATCATCCTTTTTTAACCTCTTTTCTTGAAAGTTAAAATGACTGATGATTTTTCATTATGCTACCAATTGGATAGCTTCGAAACCGGCCTGGTATGAAGAAATGAAGGCGGCAGTGTTCGCTGGAAAAGCAGATGTAGCAAAAGATATTTTTAATAAATTTGAACTAAGCGAAAATATGTTAAAGCCAGTAATCCCTCAAATAGTGGTGAACAATTACAAGAAAGCGGTATTCAAAGAAGGATCGAACAGTGACTCAGAATTGATGCCTTTGACCGAATATTGGGTTAAACACATATATGCTTTAGATGTTCATTTCCCTTTAACCATATTTACTGAAAATTGGATTAATAGAGATCACTCATATTTAGGAAATAATTCAACATCAAAGAAAACTATAGGTCCACCCGGTTTAAAACCGAAGGACGAATGGTGGTTAGGATGTTACGAATGGATCAAGTGTGGTGATCTTTTCATAAGATACTTATCCGAGTTGTACGATCAAGGAGAATTTGCAAAGGCGTAAGTCCCTTCCAAGTAAACTACTTACACACGAAGAACATAGTCTGATATGATAAATCTTCACTTTAGTTTAAGAAGACATTTCGACTATGTAAAAGAGATAGACGACCAGTTTTGTTGGGTAACTGCCTTTAGATATGACTTATTAGTAAGGAAGGTATGTTTTGGTCAACATATTAATGGTAGTCCTGGAGACCCATCGGTAAAAAGACCAAAACTCTTGGAGTTAGCAAAGAACAAAACTGAGACGATGAAAGACGTTTATTATGAACAACATGGAAATCGTAAGACTCAATTAATAAGGTCGTAATAATTGGTTGATAATGTAAAACTAACCAAATCATTCCGTAAATTTGTTCATATAATTTCAGCATATGCCAAAGGTGGAATCCGTGAAAGATATAGCCCTTGGACTGGAAAGATGTATACTAGCATGAAGAAAAATCACGATAACGGTGAATTAGATTCAAATGATACCGATGAAGAAGAAAAACATGAAAAGAATAGTCACAAGAGGGCGAATTTCTTCAAGGATGAAAGAAATGCTAGAGGATCGTTTAGAGGTGCTAGAGGCAGCTCTTTCAGAGGCAGAAGATCTAAGTCACCTTACCAAAGAAGTGAAGATAAAGGCGAACCGATTGCTTCAACCAACCCCCGACGTCACCGCAGTGCACCGCAGTTTGGCCGAATACTGCGGTGCACTGCGAAATTAGACCCTTGCGCGTCGGTGCGGTGCGTAGGTCGCGCAGTGTAACCTCAAGGCGATTGGCCCTGCGATGATGCATAGCGCAGTGTGTTGCACCGCAGGGCCGCAGTGGTAGCGCGTATAATAGTAAATGGATTGTGAAAAAAAAAGAAAGAAAATGACCATTGCTATGTACATTGAGACAAACAGAGATGATACAGTCATAGATAACAGTTCAAAAGCTATAAAGCTAAAGGTTTCAGAGAAAAGAAGCGAATAAAAATGATTTCGAGAAAGAGAAAGAAAGGTTAATCCTTAGCCACCTTTTTCTTCTTGGCCAAACCCGCCACAAGCTGTTCCACAGCTGCCACCGCCCGTCCTAGCTCTCCGCCTGGTACAAACTTTTGCTTGAGCCATTGGCAGATGCCAACAGCTCTTTCAATTGATCTTGAAGTGAGGCCCCCTCTCCGGTTAGAACACACAATTGCCGCCGTTGAGAAAGTCCTCTCGACGGCGCAGGATGACCCAACACAACAAAGGAAATCACGAGCCATCTTGGCGAGTTTGGGGAATTGCTTCTGATTAATCTGATTGATATATGTCAGTAAATAAGATTGTGTTCAAAGAGAAGAGAAACAAAGGCTACTTACACGCCACCATTGAAGGATGTCCATGTCACGCTCGCATGGACGCATTCCTGAAAGATATTGATCGAGCTCTTCATCACTTGTAAGACTTTTGGCAGCAGAGCCACCAAATACATTAGACTCATCTAGTGGGTCAAATTTTTCTGCTTCAGTATCAGCCAAAGAAGTTTGCTTCAAAGCGTCATCAGGACATTTATTTTTATACTCAGAAAACGCAAGGCGAAATAGTTCCTCAGCTCGGATTGCATAGTCAGGATATTTGGTCTTGAAGTACTCGAGTCGGAGCCTTGGATTAAGAACCGCTGCCATGACGAGTGGATCGCAGTGGAGAGCCTCGGTCTGATAATCTCGGAGTTGGGTGATCATCCGAGTGAGCATTTCTGATAGGCCTTGATGTTGTGTGGTCTGTTTAATATCGGCCAATACCGAAATCAATCCAGAATATTGAAAGAGGACAGAGGCACCAGTAGGCCCGTCCCCTTCCATCTTCTTTGTGGATCGTAGAAAGTGCTGAAGAAAAGTTGATGATTAGAACATCAATATTGAAACATTTATATTAATGATTGATATAAACGTACCCCAAGGACATCATTCAAGGCCCCAATTGCCTTCCATTTGTCTGGAGCTATTGTTATACCTTCATAAAAACCCTCTTGATCTTCGTTGATCATGAAGTTAATGACCTAAGTATGAACACGAGTGAGAATTTTGAAAATGTTTCACATTTGACAGAAGAAAAACATTTACTCACGGACTTAGCTTTGCACAATCGGGTTTGAGCATCTAGCCATATATTCCATCGCTGACCATGAGCAGCAATCAGTCCGCCACCCACAAAACCAAGTTGAGTCGCACATTCCTTGAAATGATTAAGTCGTGGTGCGCTTGAAGTAATCAGTTTATTGATTCTTCGTACCTTTGAAAACATACAAACTCAGCATCAGTATAATTACATATTTAACTTCTCCCATTTACAAATTACCTTGGTTACCGCTCGAGGTAACAGCAAAGCATCTGGCTTCTGAGTTCTGTAGTCGGATGCTTTCTCCTCATCCTCTGAGTCGTCGCTGGCCTCCACATCATTTCCTGCTAGACCGTCTTGCGTGACCTCTTCGCTATCTGAATCACAGTGGCCGTCCGCTAATCCATCTTCATCAACAACTTGCCCGTCAGCCATCACAATCTTGGGTGGAGGAAGATGATTGTCGGGTAGGAGGAGTCGTAGGCGTTTTCCAGAAGGGACAGTAGGCTTGATGCGGCCGTGATTGCCTAATCCAATCACCTCGAGTCCAGATTTAACCGTCAAAGCTAGCTTATGACAGTAGCATCGTATCTGATTCCGAGAAGAGTTCCAAAAGATTGGGTCGTTACAGTCCATGAACATCTTTTCAAGTTCAGTTGCCAATATCGGATTGCTTGAGCCAGAGTCCGTTGTCTGCGCTATCATGTATCATTGGAAGATAATTAGCAAAAGATGAATGAAAATAAGGTAAAAGATTGAAAACCAAATAGAAAAGGGACCTATCTTTTTGTGAAGCCCATGGCGGATCAAGAATTTGCCTACTGGACGAGCTAATAAAGCACTGTAATGATTCCATGCTATTAGTTTCAATGTCAAGTGAGTGACATGAAACTCCCAGTCATCATCTATGTAGGAAACCGCAACACCAATGAAGGCGCGTTTACCACCTTTCGTGGTCCATACGTCGTGTATGACACAGATTTTTGAGTCGAGAGCCTATGAATGTGATGGCGAAGTTAGGCAGTAAGTTATCAAGTCATCAAAGCAAAAGATCAAAAGAAAGAGAAGGAATGAACTAACCTGAAGCGTTTTTACCAAGTTGGTACGAAAATCCTCAAAGTACTCCATTGCGCGCCGAGCTGACCATGATGCCGACCAAAGAGTTGCATTTGGATTGCATAATGAAAACGCAGCTTGAAGGTAAGGGTCTTCCATACGAATCCATGGAATACAGTTTCTTAACAGCCAAAGAACAAGAATCATATTCAATAAGGAAACAGAAAACTTAGGTAAATTTAAGAAGTTGGCGAGTGATGTCTTTTCTTGATGATGCTTCTGAGCATTTGCTGCAGCCATTCTTTGAGCCTCTTCTTCTTGATAAGTTGGAGGAAGATTAGCACCGGCTGCAATTGCTTCGTCTCGCCCGTCGCAAGGTTTCCGCCCAACGTCGCCGTCACGGTGTCCCCTCAAGTTGAACTTGCTTCGTGCATTGACCTTGTACTCCTGGTCACACCATAGGCATGTGTGATACAATAGTTTTTCGCCGGGTTTCTACAAATGATTTGAATCAATAGTTGTTTTAATTGACTGTAAATGTCATTCTAAACATAAGGAATTGACTTTACCGGAGATTTCAGATTCCCGTCTGCATCCTTTCCGTGATGTGCAGGAGAATAGTATAGATTAAAGGCGTCGTAGACCGCTTTGGGTTTTTCCGAAGGAGGTTGGATTTCTTCAATATCCGAGTCTTGATCAGGGTTGATGTTATCAGGCAATTTGTAGTTCTTTGACTTAGGAGAATGGGAGAATTGGAAAAAGAAACAATCAGAATGGCAAAAAAACCAAAGCAAATCGATTGAAGAGTTGCATTTACCTGCTTCTTACACTTAGATCCACCGGATTTCTTAGGATCCAACGATTTGACTGGCACTTTGCGAGTACGCTTCACATCGGCAGGAGTAACCGTACTTTCAAATGAGTTATCGTCGTCTGGTCCGTGAGCATCATTCTCATCGTCTTCTGCGTCTTCATCTTCCGGGACAAAGTTAGAATCTTGATCTTGATCATCTGGA